GGGCGCGCGTCCGGAGCCCGGGTCCTACGGGGTCGAGACCGCAGAGGTGCGGGGGCTCGGGGATGGGCCCTAGGGACTATTTCTCGTTCGAAAAGTTTTCAGAGGCCAAAAGTTTGGTCTAGGCTGCGGAAGGATCCAGCTCTGGCTGTGCTGGGTTCAGCGACAATTGGCAACCATTTGCATCTCAATGGCAGAGGAGGCGAGGGTTTAGGGAAAGGGGAAGCCTGCGGGGAGCTGTGCCCGGCGGGGAGCTGAGCCCCGAAAGGGGGGAGGAGCGGCCGAAGCCAAGTTTGGGAGACCCTGGCCCAGGGCCTCGTGGAGAGGAGCCCCATGGTCCGGGAGACCAAGGCTAGACACCCCTGGCTTNACAGCTTTAAGTTTCCGGGAGACCAAGGCTAGACACCCCTGGCTTTGACTGCTGGGGCACTTGACCCAGAGAGATGGTGGCGCCTCGGCGGCAGCCTCTGGAAAGGAGGCTCCGAGTGCCCCAAGGGAACAGACTATGGCCAACGCCTGGCTGGACGGATTGCGCACCCGCTCCCCCAGGAGGGACCCGCTTCTAGTCCCTCCTTGGCTACTTCACTGTCCTTCTCCTTCTGGCGCCTCCGGCCGCTGATGCCCCGCAAAGCGTGCGGGTCAAGCAGACCCGCTGCTAGCGCCCGTGCAGCCTTGGGTCCTCCCACGTGCTCCTTCCGGATGATTTATTTCTCCGCGCCCATGCCAGATTTCGGTAGCCTGTGCCAAAGCGGGCAAAGCTCTGAGCGACCAAAATGCCTGCCATAGCCCTAGGAAATGAGAGTTCACGGTCTCTCACTGGGGACAGACAGCCTGCCCCATCCCAACACAGGGCGCTGAGCACAGTGACAGGAGGAGTGTCTACCAGTCTGGCATCCTGGAGGCCTTCCCGGAGTAGGTGGATGCCAGAGGGGACCCTTAAAGATGGAGAGGGACCTAGCCAGGTGCAGAAAACCCGGAGGCTGACAGAGAAGCAGCCCTTACCAAGGAGGCCCTGAGAGGTGGGCAGAGTCCGGGGCAGTAGCAGCAGAATGCACACCTGACCCGGGCCAGCCCTCCTTGGCCCACGTGTTGCGGGCTCTGGTAGCAGCTGGGATGCTGTTGTGAGCACTAGAGGGACAGCTAGTCCAGGCCCTGGGCAGCTGCTTCAGGGAGCCTCCCTCGCCTGCCTCCTCCCAGAAGCTGGCAGCACTTCTCCGAGTCTGGGGTAACTTGTCTCCGGGTCAGTGCTGGGAGACCAGGCGCCTGGAGGCAGCAGAGATGTTTATACAATAGCAGCAGCCCCGAGGAACAGATTTTATAGAAGGAAGAAGGGGCTGCAAAGTCCCTCCCCTGCCCCTACCCCAGCTCACAGACTCAGGGCTCTGCCTACCACATGACCCTCTTCTCCAGGGCAGGGTCTGAAGGCCTCAAGCCAGCCCTCCTCTGGGAGCCACTGCCTGTGTACCCTCCACTGGAGCCTGGTGTCTCTGCCAACAGGCCCCAGACCCAAAGTAAACACTGTCCAGCTCTGGCGTGGGAGCAAGTTCTCACTCTTCCTCCAAGGAGCAGAACTGGGAGGATGGGGGGCACAAGAGGTGGGGCACTGGAAGAGGAAAGAGGGAGTATACTGGGGTCTGCCCTGCTGTGCCAACTCTATTCTGGGCCTCCACCTAAGAGACGGGTGCTCTCATTAACCTACATAACAAACAAGGCAACCAGGCCTCCCAGGCTTCCAACCCCTGTGCCACCTTGGGCAACTGGGGCCAAGGAGGAGACCCCAGGAAAGCCAGAAGTGGCTGGGGCTAGGACAGGCTGGGGAAGAAGTCTGGCAAGTGGGTAAGAAGAAGCATTTTTTCATTCACAAATGAGGGGAGATTTCTGGCTCCCCTTCTGGTCTCTCTTTCTGAACTGTTCCAGGCCAGGGGTCTTGAGGGGGAGGGGGAATGGGTGTTCTGATGGCCTAGGACCTGGAGACCTTCTCTTAGGGAGTAAGGAGCCTTGGATGGTGGACGGCAAGAAGCTGAATTGGGGGACAGCAATGTGCAGTCACTTTGGGCTGCCTTCCCTGCTTATGTGGGGGCTGAGACAAGGTTGGCAGAGCAGTCCCTGCACAGGCCGCTCAGTGAAGGCTGGGGAACCTGGAACCAGTGGCGGTGAGGCTGCAGGCCCGGCTTGCAGAGGAGAGGGACAAGCGTCCAGCAGCCACTTTCTTCTCTAGGGGCCACCTCAGGTACGGGACATTTCCCTAGGCCCCGAAGGGGAGAAAGTGCTCACCCTCTGCCCCCCACCCCCAGGCCCACTGCCCTGGGGTCAGTTCCCCTTTCTCTTGCCTCCACAGATACCGAGGTGCCATGGTCAGGGTGGGCTGGGGAGGCCATGCTGACATTGGTCCATTCCCATCCCCCAAATAAAACCCATCCCAGCCCCCTCCTGCGGGGGGTGGAGGTGTCCAGCATGACTTGTCCTCTTAGAGGGGGCAATGTGATTAAAGGTCCCAGGAGTCTCAGGCGCAGCCAGGCCTGAGAATCCCAGTCCTGGGGCTCTGTCCCCTTCTTCCTGTACGGATTCTTCATGGCACTGTAGGTGCTGCCCTGACCCCATAGACCAAGGGTGGGGATAGCACAGTGCCCCCAATCTTCCTGACTCAGGCCAGGCCAGCCTGGGCGTGGGTCTTTATCAGGCAGGTGGGCCCTTGAAGGCCGGGGTGGGCGGTGTGTGCACACAGCAGGGCTGGATGTGCTGCTGCCTCACTGCTTCACAAATTGTTCGCAGTGCTGGGGAGCAGGGTGGACTTAGGGTGCAGGCACAGGTCTGCTGCATGTAGGTTACAGTGGCCCTGGAGCAAGGGCAGGGTGTTGGGGCAGGGACAAGGGCTGGTGGCTGGGCTGAGGGTGGGGATGGCCTATGAGAGTGCAATGGCCTGGCCTGGGTGGGAGGTGTCAGCTGGGGCAGCTTCGGGAAGATCCCAGAACACAGACAAGGCTATAGTGCTCTTCCACCTTTTGAAGTTGATTGTAAAACAGATCTGACCTGTTTGCAAAGAGAGAACCTAGAGCCTGAGAGTGTCCAGCCTCTTAACCTCACCCCTGTCCACCACAGCCGGACCCAGCCCAGCACCGAGGGACCATCACTGCCTCCTGGGCCTCAGTTTCCCCCTCTGTGAAGTGATTTCTAAAGTCCTCTCTGCCTTTTCCGCACTTACAACCAACCTGGATCAATTCTCAGAGGCTTGAGCATTTTTCTGAGACGTGGTTTTAATGGCTGTGTGTTGTTTCAGGTGGACTGGCCAGGCTGGTATCCATCCCCTGTGCTGGCCACTCAGCTGTGAGCATAGTGCCTCCAAGCAGGACAGGCATGGGGGGCTCAGACTCTAGGACTCCCCCTCATTCTTAGTAGGAGGCTGGGGTCTCCAGCTTGCTTTCCTGTCTGCCCCTCGCCCCCCATGCAAGGACCCACTGTCACCCAGGCCCAGTGTGTACCCTGAGCCAGCATCAGGCCTGATGGAGGAGGCCCCCTCGTGCCCTGAACCTCAGGCCGTCTGCGTTGGGTCAGTTTCCTGCTCTACTTTCTGTGCGTTTTGCCCTCTGCTGAAACGTCCCCCACCTCCTCAGCCTTCACCTCCTCAGGAAGCCATGCAGAGCTCTGGGCCTCTCAACTCCCAACACTGGTCATATGGTGTTCCAGAGGGGCGTGCAGTCCCTGATGCAGGAACCTGTCATTGTGTGTTCCTGCCTACCCCACAATGCAGACTGACCTGTGACTAATGGATGGCTCAACAAATGTGGGACTCTACCTATGTCCCTGGCCCTGCTGGGGATCCTGTTCACCTATGTCCCACAGCAGTCACTACCTGGGAGTCCCAAGGCTTCTCGGCAGCTCAGGGCCTTGGCAGGAGTTGACGTGAGTTCCCCTGCTGCCCACAAGGCCCGTGAAGGAAGGTCAGCACCCCAGAAGCAGGCACGGAGCCTGGGGAGTGTGTTGCCCGGGCAAGTCCCCGACAGGTAGCCTACCTCCCCATTAGGTAAGTTGATGAGGCCTGGCTGGTACGGGCTCTGAGGGACGCAAAGCTGGCCCATGGGGCCAACCTGGTACTTGTCTTTTGAGAAAATGGCTGAGGGGTGGCCAGAGCAGTGCAGTCCCTGAGAGGGACCACCTGCCCGTCCTTTCTTGGCAGCTCAGGGCTCAGAGACCACCTGCCTCTTCCCAGCAGCCCCTGGACTATTCAGTGTACAGACCCCAACAGCAGGTGGCCCTGGATAGGCCTCCCAAGTCCTGAGAAGGAAGGTCCCCTATTTAGTCCCTCAGATCTCCTCAGCTGCCCACAGAGCTTGGGCTAAGTTGGGCCTGGGGTT